CGGGGGGGGGGGGGAAGGAGGAGGAGGGGAGTGGCAGGGGGGTAGGAAGGCTGCAAGGGAAAGAAGTGAGTGGGGCAATGGGCAAGGGGGCCATCTGACCCCCCCCCCCCTCAACTGTAGCAGTGGGGCAGGGATTCAAGACAACCCCACCAACACTTAAAATTCTATACCTGGAAATTATAATAAATTTGTACATTTTCCATATAGAGGATCTAACAATTGTGGGGTCACCTTCAAGTAAATACAGTAGATGTACTCTCCACAGACCTTGCTGCAAAGGTACTTGTAAACAGAAGACAGAACTGGACTCTCAAAAATTACATACCATAAAGTTGTGCGAGTCACACCTCTATATGCATGCTTCTGGGAATCAGCTCCTGGTAGAGAAAACACTGAACCCTCTTACAGTCTACAGCACTATCTGGGAAGCCATGAGCCCCCTTGAACAAAACTGAAATCAGCTACTCTCACGTGTATGAGCAAGCACCCATTCATTAATGGCTTCTTCAAAGGCATTGGGTATTGGCTGCATCCAAGACTGGGGAGCTTGCTGGGACCAAACCCAGAGGTCCCTGGCTAGAAGGTCTTGCCCCTCCACTCAGGATCTAGGTCAGGAAGGAATTTTACCCTATGGTCAGATTGGCACAGACTGACTGTGGGGATTCTGCTTTCCTCTCTGGCAGAGGGCATGGTCCTCTACTGGGATCCCTTGAACATATATTAACAACTTTTTATAGAAGCAGGGCATTGGCTGCTGTGGTTTACCTGGGGCAGGTTAGGATGTTATGGCTTGTGTTGCGTCAGAGGTCAGTAATTTTATGAAAAGTTTAGATTATGGATTTGTATATGATGGTTTGGATGGAGAAGCAGAGTGAGTTGGACTACATGACCTCTGAAAGTCCCTTTCAGCCCTACTTCCCTATGATTCTATAATTAGACACATCAGTTTCTTTTTCAAGGGCCTCTGTAAATTCCCACTTGCACAAATGTAGATGTACATACATTTGGAAACCTTTCAAAAGCACAGCAACTGTTGTGTTCTAATTGTTGTGTGTAAACAAACAGGGAACAATTCAAATGTAGCAAAACTTGTCAGTTCTTGAGGCTTTGCTTTGACAAGACAACCCTCTAGACCAGTGGTTCCCAACCATTTTTTGCCACACCCCGCTGTTGGGAGTAGAGTGTGGCAGCAGTGGCCCAGGGGCAGGGGAGCTCTCAACACATGGCATGACTCCTATTTTCTGTGCAGTGCTGCTGGCATTGCCCCCGTGACCCTCATTTGTGTCGTGACCCAGGGTTGGGAACCACTGCTCTAGACAAAGACATGCATAAAGACCCATCTGAAACACAGCTAGCACTACTAGGCACTTGGATTACCTTCTGAACAGGTTTGAAGGGAGAACAGAATGACTGGCTCCCATATGGGACTCAGTATTTGATGTGGCTCTTACTAAAGTATGGATGTGTCTACAGTGATCTCATTAAAATAGGGATGAAATGATTTCCATCTACGCACCATTCAAAATCATTTTCTGAGCCAGTGAATAGTCAAGTTTCATGTACATTGGTCATGAAACAATGCAAGGGGTGGCTTATTGCTGACGAAAAGTTCCAGTGAAGCTTACTTTGTTGTGGAACAGTATGATAGCATTGTGCTTAATTTGCAAACAAAATATCAGTCATGAAGGAATAAAATATAAAATGGCGTTATGATATAAACCATAGTTCTTACAATAAGTAATTTGTGATGGTTGAAAACAAACAAAAAAGGTAGCACTGTTGCAGAAAGGTCTTACAGCCCAAAAGTCCATTTTAAAAAGGCTATCCCAGGCAACAAAGCTTCTGTGCTGGTCAGTAGGGCTGTGTGAAGTTTCACTGAACGTTTTGTTTCAAAGACATTTCAACGTGTTTTGAGCTTGAAACAGCAAAATTGAAATGAAACAAAAAGCTTTGAAACAGCTTTGGAACAAAATGAGGGCACTCAACTTTCGAAACGTTTTGAGTTTCAAAGCAGCCCAGTGACAAGAGGCAAGGGAGAGCCAGGGCTGTGTTCCAAGTGGCTCCGCAGCCCCATGGAGCTCAGGCCAGCGGCGGGAGGCAGAGTACAACCCTGGTTCTCCCCACCTCCTGCTGCCCAGGCTGAGCTCCGAGTGACTACGCAGCCCCATGGAGCTCAGCCCGGCAGTGAGAGGCAGAGTGCAGCCCTGGCTTTGCCCACCTCCCACCGGCTGGGCTGAGCTCCATGGGGCTGCAGAGCCACTCGGAACACAGCCCTGGCTCTCCCCTGCCTCCTGCCACTGGCCCGGATGACAGGAGGCTGCTGCTGCCTGGGACCAGTGGCAGGCTCCGTCTTTCCCTGGGCGGGTCCCCCGCCGCCACCACTCAGTGCCAGTCCCAGGCAGCAGCAGCAGCCTCCTGTCATCTGGCGCAGATCCGGGGGCCCGTACCCCCGGGAGGAGTCCAGCACAGCTCCATAGCCCTCCTGGGGCTGTGGGCCTCTGGATCTGCACGCCAGATGACAGGAGGCTGCCAGCAAGTGTCATGAGTTTTGCTTTTTGCAATTTGAGGTGCAGTTTTCAAGAATCTCTGCACCTATCTCCTTGAAACTTGGCAGGCTTCACACCCTCATAAGGGGCTACCATCTCTGCAGTTTTCATCTGAATCAGGCACGAAATGACAAAGATTTAGACATTTTCAAGATTCCCCTTTATAGCCTATGGACAAAACATCAAAACGCGTTGAAACAGTGGGACAGTGCTTCGAAACGAAACAAAACAACAAAAAGAAACAGTGTCCGTTTGAAACAGCAAAACGGGCGTTGAAATGAAACGATGGTGTTTCACACAGCCCTACTGGTCAATTACTTTGTGGCTCATGAAAGAGCAAAGAAGGGTAAACCTTTTATCAATGATGACTGTATGCTTCAAATATTGTATGCTCAAAGCTGTAGATTGTTTGCTCAAAAAAAAGTCTGCATTTAGTCAAATCAGCTTGTCCAAAATAGCTGTGTCCCACAGTCAAGGACATTGGTGATTATCTTAAACTACAGCTTCATGATATTGCTGACATGTCTGTGGCATATTCAGTCACTTCAGATGAGAGAGCTGACAGATACTGTTCAGCTGCTTATTTTCGTTCATGGAGTTTCAGAAGACTTTCGAATATAAAGAACTCCTTTTGCCTGAAAGCTTGAAC